TACTCGGAAATGAAAAAAATCGTTCAAATTTTCAAAGGGCCATAGTTTGGGTATGCAGCAATATTTCTCTATGAAATTCCATACACTTAGGCATATGCATAAGAATGAGAGCTATGCAAAGTTTCAAAACCGTTACTCAAATACTTTTTCTAAAAAATTTCCACAAAGATGGTGTCACGTCCGTCACAAAATTAAGCAAAAAAGTTTTTTCAGAGCCACATAGTGCTATTTATATTCAAAAAACCACTGTAACCTATCTCTTCTGAAGGTAAGGGAGTACCGTAGAAATTATCAGGCTTGTATCTTTTAAGAAAAAATTTTTGTAAGGGGGGTCCCAACTTGTCGCGTCCGTCACATTTTTTTGAAAATGCTCCAAAAAATCTTTAAACAAACTTTAAAGGCATTTTTCTTAAAGCTGAGGCCGTCCTCAACAAAACTATGTCGTCAAATCAAAAATTGGACAGAAAATGACCGAGTTATGTATACTTTTGTATATGCCCATATATGGGCATACGGCTCACTTTTAGCCATTTTTATCCATATTTCCATTATTTTGACTAAAACCAAGACAAATAGAAGTCAAATAAGGTTGGATTGTGTTGACTATGTTGACTAGACTATCAAATAACATCATATGCAATTCAATAATTAAATTTACTGAGTTATTGCCATTTTATTTGCTTACAACTTTTTCAAAGGTAAAAGGCACAAAAAATGGACTTAACCCTATTTTCGCATATTTTTGAAGTAAAAATTTAATATCTTCCACATTTTAAACACTAAAGTAATGAAACTTTTAGGAGATGGTCTCAACAGTATGATGCGTTGAACAGTGATGAATGTTTTACCAGAGTTGTAAATTTGTTCAAGTAGAGAAATAATTGATGCCCCCAGACTGATACCCTAGCGTATGCCCAAAATGGACGATTTTGGCTATTGCAGACCTCTTGGGGGTATTTGAGGCCTAAAAATTGGCATGAATACAGAGTAGATGTCACTGAACAAGATAAAAGTGTCAAGTGGAAGTTTTGGAAAAATTGAAAAAAAAACGTGTGTCCGTCACAGTCACGTCTGTCACAATTTGAAAATGGCGCCACGCAAACAAAAATTGAGCAATCTCCAAGAAAATGGCATCTCAGAAATCCCTAAACCTTCTTCTATCATTGTAATTCCAAATTAGATACAATAGATAACTTTTTGAGATAAATTTGGGTACCATCTGAGTAGACACCCAAAAAAAGTGTCATATTTACGTCACGTCCGTCACAGGGGTGCTATCTCAGAAAGTAATAATGGTAGGGGTCTGAAATTTTCACACAACCTGTAGCAAGGTTAAATGTGGACTAATAAACAGTTGGAGCTGATAAATAAACAACATCTCGAGTATAACATTCGTTTGAACTTTAAAAAACAGCAAAATCGTGGTGTCCGTCACGGTGGAATTGCCCTAGAGTAGAGTAGAGTAGAGTAGAGTAGAGTAGAGTAGAGTAGAGTAGAGTAGAGCGCCAAGCTGTCTCCTCGAACCTACGTAATATGTAGTTAGTGACGGTTCACCAAGGTGGGGTGCTGCTAGCATATTGTCGACACGTCATGTCAACTGTATTATATTCATACTACCATCTGTTGTTCTGGTGTTGTTCCGCTGGTATTCTGGTGTTATTGTGCTGGTATTCTTTGTTGTTCTGCAGTTGTTCGGCTGCTGTTCGGTTGTTGTCAGCTCGGCGGGTTGGGAGTGGTGACTTTGAAGTTTAAACTGGGAGAAGTTGAGAGGTGTTGTTGCTTTGTGTAACTTTATATCGTTACTGTCAGTGGCGGACACACTTTGGTGTTGTGTACGCCCTAAAGCTCTGGGTTATTGTGTGCCAGCTCGTGTCTGAAAATATGAGGATTGTTGAGCTTGTGTGATGTTTTGGCTACTTTCCTACAGTCCACTTTGTTTAACTACTCACGATCTGCTATTAAACCCAATAGTTGATCAATTAAAGGTTCTTTTCCTGGTTGGTGTAAACTGATAAACTATTATAGCTTTATCAGAGGCTGGAACACATGACCAGTGTAAGCTAAACAACACTAATCTGTGTCGTTAATTGTTCCTGTTATTGTACATTGTTACCTGCTTTCTTTTGTAACTTAATCATCTTGTTGTGACAGTTACATTGTATAGGTTATTGTTAATTCAAAATTGGTCGGCTTAACTATCGATAAAATGATATTTACGTATCTACAGTTAACCAATTCCTAAATTATTCGCTTCCTAAACGTTCTAAACTTCAATTTCTATAATTTACGTTCTGCTTTATTTAATTTAATATGAGCCCTTTTTATGGCTTCATATAATTTAAAGGGCAAAGTGTGCGCTAGATTAGCAAGCTGACGTAGTATTTCTTGTACACTTCTCTGACGCTTATCTTCGAGTTTGTAGTTCTACTGTACTGCACAGGGCACCAAGTCCTTAGCTTCATTATTTCTTGATAAAACCACTGCACGCGTGGTTTGGGGCGTGGTTTGTATCAGATTCGGATCTAATATTCAGTTGTACAGTGCTCCTTTATCAATCACACTGTTATTACATTTCCCCCTCACACTTCATACAACACGTGTTACTACCACTAGAAATATCAGCTGTTCTTTATCACAGTTCCGTATTGCCCTTTTATTACCTCTCTTATTGGCCATATTGATTTATTATTACAATATCACTGCGAGATATATTCCTTACAAATATGATATAGCATCAGTGCGGTATTGTTGGATTATTTATAGAGAGCTGACGACCAATAACTTGACTTCTTGCTTGTTGCCCTGTTAGTGTTATTAACTACTATTACATAACACATATTATAATAATAAAAGTAGTGACTTGTAACGGTAAATGTGTCTTGTAATAGTCCGCTCACTTACATAACTAGAGATAAACACTAACTAATTAGAGATAAACACTGTTCTGCTGGTGAACACTAGTGCTGATTTCCTTGGTACCCGGGTAAGTCAGCAACAGCGGACCTGTCTACCTCGTTAACTAGTAGTTAATGTGCACAGTGACACGTCTAGTAGTTAATGTGCACAGTGACACGTCTATTAATACTATTTAGTTAGTTCTCCCACTCTTAAACACAATCTGACCTTTATTAGTAGTCTCACTAAACATCACTTCTTACTATTCGCCACAATCGCCATTGACGTCAGCAATTACGTTGGCGACAATATTGAAAAACTCGAAAATCTTGACTAATTAAGTTTCTATAAATTCTAAGAAACGTGTGCTGAGGATCAGTGAAGTGATGAAGTGTTATTATGTGTTTTATCTCTACAAAACACAGCTTTTATTCACATTTAACTAACAACAACAGATTTACAACTCCCTGTGTTACCCGCTTCTTGATCAGTTTGTGCTCGGTATATAGCGGCCTGTATATAGCGACCTGTACAGCGGTCCGTTTGTGGCACCTTGTATGTTTTCTGCCGTGTTTTTCTCAGAAATCTAACTAATAAATTCCTTGACGCGAGTGATTAATTCCAGGACGCATAACCCAACTTGTGCCTCTGTTTCTCGTTACCTTGACCTCTCTTACAGGGTGTTTTTACATACTACCAGTTATTATAGCCTCGTACCAGTTTCTATATTCCACCTATCCAGTAACTAACCGGAAGTGTGCTACCCTGCTAAGCACGTACAGTTTAACTGTCTTTAATTTGCACGTGCAGCAGTAAAAAATAAAGTATTTTATTTCTCCTCTCCTCCCACAGTTCCGTGTACACTTAAACTTTGTGTTCACTAGACGCAGTTCCGTTGTCATGGTAACAGTGTCTGGCAGCTAGACACGCACGTGAACCTTGTTTGATGTCTCTTTCTAGGTTTTCTATTTGACTCCTTTACTTTACATCCTCTTCACTTCAAACAGCTCTTTTTATATTTTACTCTCCTTTAAGTGTCATTTGTTTGACTAGTTCTTTTTTCTTTTGATGGCAATTTTTTGACTCTTTGAAGATTGCAGTAGCTTGTTTGATATGGATTTAATTGCGACAGCGAAATGTAATATTAATATTTGATACCCACTTAATAGCCGGTCCTTCTGATCAATTATAAGTGTTACTTTCCTTTAAATCAGCAACAAATTGTCAGCAGTTTAGTTTGTGCTTTACTCTTGATCGTTATCTGCAGAATCTTGATATCTGCCTCTGAAACAGAGTCTCAAATCGCTATTAATTGGTAACTATAACCTTCAAAATGGAGAGAAGGTTCTCAATTTTGCAGTTTGTTGTTGCCTATTATCTATTATCTGTGATTTGCATCTCCGTTAATCTCTGACTGGAACATATCTCCCGGGTGTTTAACCCACATTGTGAAAGTATTATTGTAACAGTCAAGGTAAACCCCTCCCAACCCAGCCATGAAACCGAAGGATCTGATATATTTGAGTGATGCTTACAGCTACCTGGTCAACTCGGCTCAACACAAGAACTTCTGGCCACGATACTTAACTTTTAACAAACTAGGGGCAGCCAACCTTAACAAGGACTTAGGTACTGCTCGGGACTGGATAAAATCTCTGCTTTATTATCTATAATAATAATCGTTTGTTAAGCTCATTATATCTGTGTGTACTCCTGCTGTCAAGTATTAAACTGCAGTGTTAACCATGTAAATTAAATCTAATTAATATTTAGTATCTATAGTACAGTACTAACTAACTAACTAACTAACTAACTAACTAACTAACTAACCAAACTAACTAACTAACTAACTAACTAACTAACTAACTAACTAACTAACTTACTAACTAACTAACTTACTAACTAACTAACTAACTAACTAACTAACTTACTTACTAACTTACTAACTAACCTAACTAACTAACTAACTAACCAAACTAACTAACTAACCTAACTAACTAACCTAACTAACTAACTAACTAACTAACTTACTAACTAACTAACTAGCTAGCTAACTAACTAACTAACTAACTAACTAACTAACTAACTAACTAACTATATTTCAGATTTCCCCTCGTTCGGGAGCACCATAGACAAGTGCATGAAGTGCAGTGTGAACAAGCTAGTACCAGCAATAGTAGCCGGTTGTATACGTGAAGTAGAAGAAAGAGGACTCAGTACTACTGGTATCTACAGACTCTCAGGGAACGAGAAGGCTATACACTCCCTTATTAACCAGATCGATAGGGACCCTAGAGCAGTGGACTACAAAACACCTGTTAGTACATATTATCAGCTACTTGCTTATACGGAGGGGTTATTATTCATATTAAATACGTCACTCTTATAATCAGTATAATATATCAAGTGCACAATATTTCACTTAATTTTCTACTACTACATGTTTGTTAACCGCCCCCGCCCCTCAGCCGTGGACAGATATACACAACACATGTGCTGCGCTGAAACAGTTCTTCAGGAGACTTGCAGAGCCTCTCATACCTGCGCATCTGTACCCGCTCTTCATGGACGCTGCTCAATTATCTGTAAGTCACTAGTCACTATTATAGTAACCACAGTAACCTGGCTATAGTAACCCTAGTTACCGCAGTAAGAATGCTATTGCTATAGTTAATCATATATATTATATACATACATACTATAAGCTTAACATTAAAAGTTAGCATGTCTGCTCATTCCAAAGTGCAAAATTCCATTAAGAATCCAAATAGTTTGAACAAAGCTGATGTTTTGTTGAGGATAGAGATTACTCCTCATGTTGGTGTCTCTAAATGCACTACTAAGTTTGTTATCAGCATTCTTCTCCAGGAGCTAGAGGAGAGACAAGAGAGACTGAGGGTCTTGATTAAGCAGCTACCGGAATGTCACCTAGCAACCGCTAAACTCCTGTTTGGACATCTTGTTAAGGTCGCTGCTAATGCTGAAGTCAATAAGGTATTTATAGTTAATAATATTACGTTATTTATATTACAACTTTTGAACTATTTAAACTATTTAACTAGTCACTGTGTGGATTTCTTAAGTTATTTAGTTTTTAGCTATTATTCAACACTCGATTAGTTACGGAATGCTTGAGTTTCTAACTCAGACTGGGTATCATTTTATGGTCTCCTTTCTGAGAAAATCAGAACCCGTACCAGATCAAAGGGGAATGTTAACATTTAACAAGGATTACTACGTTTTATTGACCTAACATATTTCAGATGCACACTTACAATCTAGCGATAATATTCGGACCTACAGTGATCAGATCTCAGAACAGTGACATGGTATCTCTAGTTGCTGACATGTCCAACCAATATAAAGTCGTGGAATGTCTTATTACCAAGGTAAATACTTCAAACTAGTGTTGTCATGATTATAAATACTCTGTGTTGTCATAGTAATAACTAATGTTGCAATGGTAACAACTAATGTTGCTATAGTGGTTGTCAGTTGTGTGTATGTCTCATGTAACCACTGTTGATTTTGAAGAATGTCACACACACTCATGTTTCCAAGTTCGTTAGTGTTACTAATGAGTAATGCTCTCAATCTACTCTCATGTCTCACTTTTCACTACATCACAAGCTGTTCTAATTATCTCGTTAATTAGCTCATTTTAATTAGTTTTCTAATTAGCTTCTAATCAGCTGTGTGTTCACCTGTTAAAACAGAGTGGGATCGTGTGACGTTCTCAGTTGAGCATGTCTCAATATAAGTCCTCTGTTCTTGTTCAGCTTATTACATGTTCTCGTGTCTAACTGTACAGGATTCCGCGTGTGTTGCTGTGATAACACGTTTAGTTGCCTCACTGTACCCAATTAGTCCGTTTTTGGCAGTTCACCTCCTACGCCATCTGTTCAATTACCAGATAGTATTAAACAGTTGATGGTTGTTACACCCGGCTCTAGTTAATTGTTCACATGTTCCCCAGTTAAAAGAGAGCACCTACCTTTGTCCAGTAACAATTGTTACCACAATGTTATTGTGGTTTGTCCCACCTTGTGGTTTTGTGGTTGATATTGATCAGAAGTTACACCTCTTGTTCCACCAATGTCATTGTTAACGTTTTAAAGAGCGTCGCTTTATAAGTGTGTATTAAAGCTCTCCCACTGCCTCCAGTTTCAGTCACAATTACCTCCCCCACTGCCCTTTCTCTCTCCCTACTCCTTAGTGTTGTCCTGTGAAGTGTAGCTGTGTGAGGTGTGATCACACTGTGTGAGGTGTGATCACACTGTCACACTGTTATTAACCCCTAGTTAGGTCACTGATCTGGTCTATTAGAACTCCCCCACAGTATTACTGTATGGTGTGTGGGGCGGGGCTAACTAATCTTACTCTAATTGCTCCTTCATCAAACATGTCATCGTATCTGTAGCTGTGTACTATTGTTTCTCGCTTTTTAAGCAGGATTGTTTGTCGTGAAGTTGTCGTTTCATTTGTCCCATGTTTTTAGTTTGCTGTTTATGTTATTTCATTAGTTGTTTACTTCATCGTTCTCTAAAACTCTTCTACTTACAGTATAGCTACGTATTCGAAGAAGAAGAAGAAGAAAATACTGTAGAAGAAGAAAGCAAATCAGACGAGAAATCTGAAAAGTCAGACGAAACTTCGGAAAAGTCACACAAATCTGCTCAGTCTGATATGGTTAGTCCACGTTCTTTAAATCTTGTCAATACTGTGCCCTTAATAAGTACAGCTGTTGGTAAAATATTTAGAGTTTAGATGGCGATCGTAAAAGTTGTTGGAGATTTGAATTGAAATTACATTTTTATTCCAATGACTTATCAAAGTGAGCTCTAGGAAGGAACAGTTCCAGTTGTAAAACTATACATATAAATTATAAACTGCTAACAATTATCATGTTTAACAAATCTCTACCTTTTCTCAGGGATTATTCAGTCAGAAAAAGTACCGGCCCTCCCAGAACGGCCTAGTAACTCCCTCTGATGATAGATCCAGCTTACCTACAGACTGGAAATTCGAGAACGGAACAGAAAATGAGAAATCAGATCACGTGACAGACAAAACAGATAAGAGCACTCAGTGTAACATTCGTAAAGCTCAGTGCAAGTCTCCTCCGCAATCATCTGAAGATAAGATAGTGTACAGGAAAGAACCGGTGGGAATTGTTCACCCCTACAAAGACGATATCAAAATGAGACCAGTGTCTCGTATCTTTGATAAGAGACTTGTATCTTTGGATACAAGTCCTAGAGAGGATACCGAGCATGGACCTAAGAAGAGTTTGAGTTTAGAGTCTCTGTTGGATGTTATAAATGCAGAACAGCAGCAGAAGAGGCAGCTTGCTAAGAGAGGATGTAGTCAACAGTTCGAGTCAATCCACAAGTTCGTTAACGGACTGCACCAGAAGAACACTAGAGTCCAGCACTCCGTCCCCCTTAAACCCGCAAGTTGTCCCAAAAGCCGGGGAGTTGCCACCTCTACAATAGTCCCATCTACTGGACCTGTAAAACCCATCCACTCTGTACCCGTCAAGCCTGTCAAACCGCAGCAGCAGCACATCTACTCAGTTCCGTATAGGAGATCTTCGGAAGAAAGGACAAGCGACCGGGCCAACTCGGACTATTATCGACATGACATGATCCGAACTAACACTCGCAAGTCAGCTGATATAAGCACTCGCAAATCAACTGACATTGGCACTCGCAAATCATCAGACATTAGCACTCGCAAGTCGCTAGACTCCAGAGGTCGGAGCGAACACAGGTGGGCTGAGAACATGTTACACACCCACCAAGGCAGCCACCCCGCCATCCCCGTGTCAGACCATCAGACACGTGATGAGACACGTGATCATCGCCCACGTGTCTCCCGGTCACATGACCTCATCAGAAACTCCCGGTCAGCTTCAGACTATTATCAGAGGAATGATCGGCAGAAGGCACGACGTGGCTCTGATTCTAGAGCCCGGTGGCAGCCCGGACACACACACAAGTGGGTCCTGGACAATAACACTACCCTGTTAGAGTCTACTTTGTAGTCATGGTAACGCCACGTTACTGGAATCTACTTGGTGGTCAGAACTTAAATATGTTTTTAGTCTGGTTTAGAATGTTTTGTTATGAGTAAATTAATTGGATTGTTCAAAACTAAAGACAGTTGTATTATCGCAAATCCTACAGTTCAATTTTGTGTTCTAGTAATTTTAGATCGTTATATGCCTTCAGTTTATTAAGATTTGGAGTTGTATAATTTATAAAGCATGGTAAAATATATTTGTATCATTCGGTATTATTACCATGACAGCGCTTGTATTTCAGCATTTTATGTTTCCATGTTTTTTTTTTCGGAGATGACCCTATGTTATGCCTGTTTTTAAAACGATGATTGTTAATTTGAAACCTATTCTATGAAATTGTAACATTTTGGAACGTTACAGCTTCGCTAACCATGATATATTATGCCGGTCACCGAAGATATAGTTAGTGACTTAGTTCGGTGCTATAAGACTGTTCATAGTTAGAAAAATAGTAGTTAGAAATTAGATGCTTAATTTTTGATTATATTCCCGCCGTACACAATGATAATGAACGTCATTAATTTAAACCGTTTGGTGGTCTAGAGGTCAGTGCTTCAAAGTGGTTTACAAAATGAACCTCTTTTCATTTGTTCAAATTATCACGGTAAATAATATTTTTGCTAATATTTTGATTTGCTGTATAACAAACCTGGTTAGAGTATGTACATTTTAACAGATTTGGGAGAACCAATATTTCAAATAATACCGGCTGTTATTTTGACAATTCCTCAATTTCTTTTAATATTTCAAGGAATAAGAGTCTATGATTTGGTCTATCCGGGGGGGGGGGGGGGGAGGGGAGGGGGGGGCCAAGGGCATAAATGGAGACCTACATCCTCGAAAGTCGAAACAAGCTCGCACTGCAAAGGGGAGGCCTGCCTTCCGAGATCGCATTACCAGGGGGAACCCTCGAGTCCAAATTTGTGTATCAAGGGGTAGGTGCAGACTTCGATAAACCGAAAAACCAAAAAAATATTTTCGGCTAATAATGAAGAGGGTAGCATGAAACGTGGAGAAAAGCGGTTTTCAGAAAAAATTTGAAAAATTTTGACTTAGAAAATTACCCCTCGGTACACAATTTTGGACTCGAGGCTTCCCCCTGGAAATGCGATCTCGGAAGGCAGGCCTCCCCTTTGCAGGGCGAGCTTGTTTCGACTTTCGAGGATGTAGGTCTCACTTCTCAGTGCCTATTACTCTCCCCTATTACTCACTCCTGCTGTAGCCTGTAGAAATAACTTTACACTAGGCTTGAGTAATTATGAGTTTGCCTGAAGTGTGCCTCTACTAACCTAGTATAAGCATCTAGTAGCCTACTATGAGCTTTCATAAGCTTGTTACGCCCCTAGTAAGCGTAAATAAACATGTTAGGATGTCCAATTTAGGTGTTAAATGGTGTTAAAGATGAAATTTCGAAGACAAAATTCATGGCATAAAATGGAGAAAATGGAGAATTACTCATGGGTTTTTCCATTTTCTCCATAGAAAAAGTCTCCATTTTATGCCATTTTATGCCGTTTTAAATCCATGTTGAATTTCTCAGATCCAAAAATAAGTTTTGAGAAAATGAGAAATCCATGTATTAGCTTTGTTTTGCATTATTAAACGTAAATTTACCATTTTTCCAAACGAGCTACTTCCGATCTAGAAGTACTGCAGCGCAAATATCGTTACATTAGAAACTATTCGAAAAGTTAATATTAACTATTCGAAAATATTAGTATTAGCTGATGTAAATTATGAATTGAGATTGTATTTGTGCCCGAACCATATAGCAAATACACCGTTCGTGGCCGTTAGTTATATATAGTTCGAACAAATATGTAAACTAGGCAAAATGCCAAAAATAGGTAAACTAGTTGACGGATCTAGGTAAACTATAGGTAAAAATATAATATTAATCATAAGCTAAAATGTACTAATCTTTGTATTCTAAATGGGGAAAAAGAAGAAACATTGTCAGTCAGTCGAGAAAATTGTCAGTCAGGCTATATGGCAGCTTTGTAGATGCTGTGACTATGCTAGTAGTGGTCCCAGGCTTGCGACTGGAATTGCGGTGTTAAATCGATTTAATGGTATACTATACCAACGATCCACCTCCCACTTGTTGTTTGGTACTTAGCATTAATAGTGTTAGCTGTAGCCATTTATAGCAAGAATCTTAAAACTAAAGGGGATGACAAGGAAAAGAGGAAGGAAAAAGAATAACGGAACAAACAATTAATTAAAGTATTTATAGGAGCATTAGATATTGTAATTACAAGCTTCAATAATAAATCACTGACTAAAAATTCTAATTAAAATGACACTTGGTCATTGGTACGCTCGCCCATTTTCACTGGTCAGTCTTTAATTGACGATGTCAATTCATGGCAGCTCGGCGCGGCACAGTAGCGCATCTCGCCGATCTAGCATCGCGCTACAAATCAGTCTTAACTTCGGATGTTACTCGTCTAAATTTCTTCGAAGTACAAAGTAGCGCGCGCCGCTTTCTTCTCAAGTGCTACGAAGAAGTGCGCGCCGGGCCAGATCATTAACAATGGTCAAGTAAACTAGGCAAAATGCCAAAACGTATCAGTTTCATGAGAGTAGCACTGCACTCGCACAGGAACTGAATGCCGCGCGCTTCGCCAGCTCAAACACTTCCATGAATTGTTGAACCGACCCAAGAATCCTTACTGTTAGGGGCCTAACTTCGGTTGTAGGTTTATAACCTACCAGGCCCAGGACTGAGGACGCGCGCCGAGTTTACTGGGCGGCGCTCAGCCTGTCATTCCGCCGAATCTTTATGTATTATTAAATTATTATTATTATGTTCATGTTTATTAATAGCCTGGGGTCCCCAGGTAAGCGCCGAGTTGGACTCGTCGACGGTCCAATATATGGAACAAATATTTTACGAGTATCACCCGTTAAAACTTCGGAAGTAAAAGAGATAGAAATTAGAAACGTCTTGTTTTCAACAAACCGTCCGTCTCGTAAAACTAAAGTTAGCTCCCCAGGAGCCAAATTCGAAACTTGTCATACGTTGTATCACTATCATGTATGACCCGCCGCGCACGAGTGCGCAGCTCCCCCTGTATCGTAGAAACTCTACTATAGTGAAGCGACAGTGGGGGTCACCACATGATACAAGCCATAGCTGTAACAATTTGCAAGAATTCACAGTTAGTTAGATTAAGAATAGCTCTAAGCTAAAGCAATGTTGCATCTATACTCTCTACTAGGTAGCTGTAACCCATCCACAGGTAGTAGAGGTGGTTCTACCTGAACATCTGCGGAAAAACGTATATTTTTCGTAAGGCCCCTTCTCGAACATCACGTGTACGAGAAGGTGCCTTGCAAGGCACCTTCTCGTACACGCCATGTTCGAGAAGGGGCCTTACAAAAAATATATGTTTTTTCCGCAAATATATACGTTCCAAAAAACATATGTTTTTTTGAAAAAGTATATATGTTTTTTGAAAAAGTATATATATTTTTTAAAAGCATATATTTTCTTTGTAAGGCCCCTTCTCGTACACCGTAGGGACCCTTGTGTTCAGATTAAAAACTTTTGAAAAAAAAATCCTTTAAATCTTAAAATATTAGTACTAAAAGTTTTGTCTCAATGAGTTGATTACGATAGCATAATATCTACGTGATAATAATTGAAAATGTGAAAGTTATAGGCCAAAAACTAAAAATTTGCGCGAAAAAAGCACGCGCGCCGAACAAGCGCCGTTTAGCATTTTTAGCGAAAATTGCTACATAACACGGTGGATTTTTTATTCACATTTTTAAACAACTTTTGGTACCAAATTTATCGAAATCGGAGAAAAAAATTCTGTGCTCGCGCTTGGCGCTTATTACACTGACTATACTGGGGATTGGAGGTAACGTTACTTTTACAAGGCGAACATTTTGCAAAAAACCGGAAGTCTCTAGCTCTTTTACTTTCGAAGTTAGGCCCCAGCCGCGATAAAGTTTCCTGGGAAGGTATCGTTGTTAGCATAAACCACCAAAGGTAGCCTATGCACTATGCCTTACCTGGGGACCTCAGGCTATTATATTTAATATTTATGTTCATAATCATAGAATAGAGATGACTGATTAGGCGGAATGATAGGCTGAGCGCCGCCCAGTAATCAACTGCTCTACCAGAGATACTAGAATGAACATGATAGCCTGGGGTCCCCAGGTAAAGCAGTTGATAGCGTTTATTACCCGGTACAACTAAGAGTTGGATAAACAATCAAATTGTAAGAGATTTGCTACACGTTGTATGCCGCATGCAATTAAAAAGGGTTGCAGTGTGTGTCAATAAGAGATCGACTATACTTATAGAAGATGTGGAGGCAGATTAACAGTATTAATAGTATTATTATAACTTGTTTTTCATTGATCCAATGAAATAGTTTAGTTCGATGATACTGATAGAAATTGCAATTAACTGAAATTAAAAAGTTGTCATATCTTGGACAATAAGTTCGCAGTGAAATAATGTTTGAAAATAATCAATGGACTTTAATTTGGACGGACCTTAAACGGACGGACATTAAAATGAACGCTAGGGCCTCCAGCGTTCAATTAATGTCCGTTCAAATAAGGTCCTATAAGGTAATACTAATAGCAATACGCAGTAATTAAGCTCCAATTTGTTATTGTTTATTTGTGGGTTCACCTTGTACACGATTAAGACAACGGTTGTAAAACAGTGGTTTTGAATATAGCGGTAAAAGTAACATTAAATAAAAGAAGGCAAGGAAAGTCAAATAATATAATATAATAATCAAATCAAATCGAAATTCAAAAAATAAAAACATAGTATAGTCCATACTCAAAAATAAAAACATGGTATACGTAGAGTATAATAGTCCATAGCCATGTACTGATACTCATTATGATAAATATATGTACACATATAATTAATTATTAAAGCGTTACGAAGTAACACTTATAAATATAAGTTCATGTTTGTTAGCACTTTGTCGAACACGAGAACAGAGAAACGAACACGTTTGTATAATTAATTAAATAGAAGTGTCATTTTCCGTTCAGATTGAATGTACGGTACTACCAAGTTCAAAATTGGCATATAACTTACTTACTGACTAGGATTTTTTGGGTAAAATAGTGTAATTTGGAACCACATCTATTTTTAAGTCAATTTTTTTTCTATTCGAAACACAATTCTGATAATGCGATAGCTTTCTTACATCAACTAAAACCTACTAGTATCCTAATAGTAGTACCGTGTAAAAATGTAACAAGATGAATTAATACATATATATGGACACGTTCATTTGAGTTTGAGGATATTGGTAAACAAAAATGATAGCGTTTTCGACGATAGTGGCTTAATTTTGACATCTTTTAACCTAGCACGTTCAGAACTT